CACAGCTCACTGGCCCATGTTGGTATTATGATGACTGTGCTCTCCCTCCCCTGCTGAGGCAGTCGGTGGCCAGCTGATGGGGCTCATGCTTGCCACTGGCCACTCATGGCAGCTCAGCTCCAGGTTGAGCTGTTGTTCACAATCTTAGCTGTAGAGGGCCCAGCTTACTGGCCCATGTCGGAATCGAACTGGGAGTCCCGTTGTTCAGGGTTCGCGCTCTTACCAACTGAGTTATCTGGCCGTCCCCAATAAATTAGATTTTTTAAAAAGTAGAGATAAAGCTCTTGATTACCACTCCAAAATCAGGTTCCTTTATTCCCTGGGAAAGTTCCCTCCTCTCTCCACACTGGTTAAACAGGTAACCATTATCACTACTGCAGATTCTACTTCAAAGTTCTTGTTCTACCTTTACACACACACATACCGAGGATATCTACACTTTATTACTTTACAGTACTTGGTCTTTATTTGGCTTTTCCCACTAACTGTATCTTCGAGATCTTTAATTAGAATTTATAGTTCTACATCATTCTAACTCCTGAAAGTATTTCATAGTATAGACATACAATAGTTTATTCTGCCTCCCCACTATCATGCAACCATCTTTTGAGTGTCACAGTGTGCCAAATCCAAGGAATACAAGTGAAATCATAACTACAAAGAGCGGTCATGTTTTTTTGAGCCTGAGTGATTTATCTAGTCAGGTCAAGAAAGTATTTTCAAGGGAGTTAAAGCGTTAAACAGATCTGAAGAGTCTGTGAGCATCACTTATTTAGGTTAAGGGTGGAGGTAGGGGGCGTTACTAATCCTAAACAGCACCAACTGTGGAAGAGATGTGGCAGGTGGCAAAGATTATGTGAACCTTGCTTTTATATATATATATATATATATATATATATATAATTTTTTTTACAAGATGTCTTACTTTGTAATCAGGAAGACACTATGATTATAAATATTTTTAAAGTGAGGAGGCTTCCGAATTCCTCAACATAAGAAATCAATCTTAAATGCCTCTTCTGGGAGGGAAATGAAAAGCAAATCTTCCTCGTTGGCTTCTCTTAAAAAGCTGCAATAGTCGTTGAAAATGTCTTGGGGCTCTCTCGTCTTTGCATAGGACTAGGAATCTTCAGTATGACCTGGCGTGGGGGAGTCAAAGCGTCTAGGCTTAGCTTTTTCATTTGCCAGAGGCTCTCCGCCTGCACGTCGGCTTTTAACCACTTTACCTCCTGGGAAAGAAGGGCCAATATTCACCCCTCTACTAGGGTAAGAGTCTGGTCCCGTGCGTGCAATGTGTATGTTCATAGGAAAAAGGAATCCTCAAGGCTAGAGGTATTACAGAAACACACCGAAAAGGCTGAAAGAAAAGTTAATTACCTAACCCACAATGCACAGCCCATCTTTCCGGAAGCAAGGATTACAACCTTCTGGATTCACTTATCTGAGCGGAAGCGTCTTGCCCTGTGTCTGGTTGGAAGTGACAAAACAAGGCATTATGGGACTTCGTCTTTCAGTACGCATGTGCCAACTGGCCTAGCCTCGCCCCGCTCCAGGAGCCACGTCCCAGAGGTGGTGGCGACTAGAGATGCACGTAAACGAAGCTGGCCAATCAGTTCCGAGCGCAGGCGCAGTGGTTCGAGTAGCACCGGAAGTGCAGGGGGATGGGGCGGCGATGACGCGATTCTGTACGCGTTGGAGGGGCCGGGCCGCTGCCGGATTTGCCGTGGCTGCCGCGTGACGTGGCACAGTCGAAGCCTTAACACTAGAGCCGGAGCGGCCGCGCCAGTCGTCGAGCAGGTCCGCGCCCCGCTAGTACTTTAGCTGGTGCTTCGTCTGACACGCCGGGTAGCGAGCCGTTCCTGCCGCCGTCTTCCTTAGCTCCTCTTCTTGCTCAGTTTGCCGGGAGCGTGAAAGGAGAAGGCCGGAGGACTCCAAACCTCAGCCCATCGCAAGTGCCACTACCGCCATGGGCCTCACCATCTCCTCCCTCTTCTCCCGCCTCTTCGGCAAGAAGCAGATGCGCATTTTGATGGNAGGGCAGTGTCACTGGCCCTCATATGTGGGATCCGAACCAGGGCCCTCTGGCGTCCCAAGCCAGTTCTTAACCATCACGCCACTCGGCTGGCCCTGGACTGACTTTTTATAATCTATAATTTGTCACAAGACTATTTTAAATTAAGTGAAAGTATAATGGATAGTCTCATTTTCATTTGTATTTAGCTTGAGGTGGGCTAGCCTTGGTGTTAACTTTCTAATCATAAACTCCCAGTGCTTATGGTTTTGAGAGAAGGAATACAATGAAGGCAACTTCAAATAAGCCCAGAAAGAGCTTATTTGAAGATGCAAAGTTTACACCCAGTAATAAATATATTCATGCTCACAGTTACCTTGATTTGTTAGCTAATGCTCCTTATAAATTAAAGTACTCACTACTTAGTGGTATTGGGGGTTATTATTGTACTTTCAGTTGCAGTTTTGTTTTTATTGATCTAAAAGGGCCACTTCAGAAAGGAATTTCTTACATTTTGTTTTACTGCCAAATATTTGACAAAAATTCTGGCTAATGTTGAAAATTATCTGATTAACATTGTTAGAATATCATGTACAGAATTATTCTTGTACTGTAATGCTGTATCTGGGTTAAATACACTGTTCTCCTTTTCCTTTCTGTTCTTCTCAGTAGTTTCATCTGCTGAAATAGAGCAGTTTGAAAATTATTTTGAGTACTTACTGATTTGGGATTTGTTTATTCTTCTAGGATTTACTTCTCTGGACCCAGAAGCACACAGAAGTAGAAACAGTAGACCTTGTATTGAAGCTAAAAAATAAGCTGGTATGTAGCCAAAAAAGCCAAAGATCTGTGAAGATAGTTTCTTCACATTTGAGGTGACAGTCCATGATGTATCACAGAAATAACCTTTTTCAATGGACTTGAGATTGGTCAATTAATGGTAGATCTGACTGAAAATGCTTGACCACTCAAGCAGATCATAATAATGCCATATTACTTTAAAAGTATTTACATGAAGTCTAATGAGCTCTACAAAAAACATTGTCACTTATATTTCATATCATATGGTATGCATTAAGCATAATTTACATAGAAGTCTTTTATTGAGCTCAAACAATGTATTATTTCAGTGGCATGTTCTTTGCTTCTTTACAGTCTCTGTAAATTCTGGTTGAAGTCTGAAGTTTCCAAATCATTAGATCATTAAAAATGTTTATTTAGAAAATACAATTTATTAATACAGACTCAGTGGATGATTTAAATGCTTCCACATGTTTCTTACTAGTTGCAGGCTGATCGAGAGCATTTACCTGTGAAGCCCGACACTGTGGGAAAGTTACGGACACACATAGATGCCATCATCTCAGCCTTGCCCGAGGACCTACAAGGCATACTGCTCAAAACAGGCATGACATGATGTTTGCCAGGATTTTCCAGCCCAAAAGGACTGCACCGTGAAGCATACCAACATTTCAACCAGACGCACAAAGGAGATCTCCTGGAGTAGAACACAGCTGTAAATGCTAGCTACAGGATGGAAAGACTATATCATGTAAACAGAGTTTTTTAATGCATTATTTTTAAAAATGGGTATCTGTGGTGGTTCCACTTTAATACAGAAACACCAAAAGGCATTTTTATATTTTTAATCATGTTCTAAAGTGCTCTTATGAGAGACCTGTGGGGCCATCAGTATAAGTGATTCCAAACTGCAATGCTGGCATTGCAGATATTTTTTTAAATTGGTGCTGTTTTGCCCAATCATGCTAAAACTCAGGGGGATATAAAAATAACATTCACACTGGCTATCTTCTTAAGAAGGAAAAGACTGAACTCTCTGACTGTAGTTAGAAGTAATTAATGCTTTTTGTAGTGCCTTCTGTTGTCCTACATGTTTCACAAAACCCAGCTGCTAGTCTTGAAGCTTTTTCTTATCTTGATTATGATACATAATTATATAAGGCATTCTTTTGTGTAATCATTGTTTTAAAATAATGCATTTCTTGCTTCCCATCATGTTTATTAGTAGTGGCATGGTATTTTTTTCCGGCTGTCATACAGGTTTCATTTCATTATTTTCTATACCATTTTCAAATTTAATCTTATCAGTTTCTCCAAAGGCAAGAAGGTATCTAGTATTAATTATGAAAGAGTTAATTTCCTCTTACCTTTTACTAATTGGGCCTATTTAAGTTAATAATCTTGAATTTTTTCAAAGACATTCTAATTATAAACCTCATAATCAGCTATTTTTTAAACTGAACTATTCTTATTTTAAAGGCATTCATAAACTTTTTATGTGATAGTCATTTGAGTGATTATAAGATTGGTTTTCAGCATTATTTGTTTGGTAGGGTTTTTTGCCCCCAAATAGTTCTTAGAACACTTTTCCTACTGTTGTTTGACATGGGAACTTTTGCCTGAATCACTGTTATAGCTAGTTTTTTGTTGTTTTTGTTTGTTTCTGTTTTGTTTATACTACCTTGCCAAAAATAGAAGATTGTGGTTTGGTTTACTCTACCAAAGTTGTTTAGTTTGTGTTTGAATAGGAGTGTCCTGCAGAAGCCACTATTTAAAATAGGCACACATGACATAGCACGTATGTAAATAGCTGTATCTTGAATTACCCTCTAAGTAACCAAATTTAGTTGTGTTTGTAAAAGAAATGGCTTTAGAAGCTATCTTTTCTTTTCTGTTAGTATAACTCTTAAGAGCACTCCAGACTCAAGAAAGACTCCTTGTGTTTGTAACTGTGGACTTATACCCAAATGTGCCCTTTTCTCATAGATACAGTCTCTTAAAGCATACCTCAAAGTCATAGAGAGAATATGGCATTTGAATGAAACCATTTGCCACGGATCGTAGGAGTTATTTTGTGAAACAACAGTTGTCCTTATGGAAAAGAGGCAACTACTTTTATATGCTAAAGTATTTCATATCTTTTTGGGAAACCTTATTTAGGTATAAATGGTCATCTTATTTTCAAAAAGGTGTATTTTAATAATCTTACAATTTATATGCAGTTTGTGTCCAGAATTTGAAAGTTGTTAGTGTCATATCAAAGATCTGTTAAATTATACCACTACAGGATATATCATTTCAAGTTTATTTTGCACAGCTAAAGAGTAGCAGAGGGTGCCAATTAGCATAATAATGGTATCTTCATATTTACTATGTTTAACTAAAACCTAACAGATATTGAAAACCTTATCATGCTTATCTGGTTTATGAATTTCAAATTATGTAGTTGAAAAAAATAACTTAAAATTACAATGGGAACCTGAGAAAGACTGATTAGTAACTTGATTTTCAGAGTTATCCTCTTTTTTTTGTTTGTTTGTTTTTTTGGTGAGGAGACCTTGTTAAGATCTAAAACCTGCCATTTGATGTTTATCTCCACCAGCATCAGAAGGAATCACTGCTTTCAGGGTGTTATGTAATGCCTAGTGCCTTCTGTTTTGAATGAAAAAGAGATTTTGTGAAGGCATTTATGGTCATTACCAAAAACTGAATTAAAAGGCCTTTGAATTTAAAGCACTTGAATATGTTGTGTTATTTCTGAGTAAGGTTGGAATGCTTGAATATATGCACAGTAAATGAAACTTGTGCATTATGGGATTCCTTTTACTTCCTAACTTATGTTTTAAAATTCAAATGAAAACCTTCTGTTTACTTCACTATGAACAGGTGTAGTCCAGTTTACTAATAAAAGACGGATCAATTAAGTGATTTCAAATTCTTCCTAGCAATGTACTGATGAAAATTTTTTAGCTTAATAATCTAGATATTGTTAGATTTTCCTTTGTTTGCTGCCTTTTCTTTTTTAACCTTAAATCTCAAATTAGTTATTTTTTTTAAGATTTTTTTTTTTAATTGGGGAATTGGGGGATGGGAACAGCGCTGGGGAATTGGGGGAAGGGGAACAGACAAGTTGCTGTCCTTTTGTTCTTCAGTCTAGTTGTGGAGGATGTTGCTTCACTGGCCCAAGTTGGTACCATCATTGTGCTCTTCCTGGGCGAGGCAGATTAGTCGCCGGCTTCTGGACAGCCGCTCACGCTGGCTGCTGGCTACACACGGTAGCCCATGGCAACCCACTGCAGCAGTGGCTGCAGCCTATGCCGTCGCTGGAGACTCAAGGCAACCCAGCTCCAGGTTGAGCTGTTGTTTAGCATCTTAGCTGTAGAGGGCAGTGTTACTAGCCCTCATATGTGGGATCCGAACCGGGGCCCTCTGACGTCCCAAGCCCAGCTCTTAACCACCACGCCACTCGGCCGGCCCTCAAATTACTTTTATTTCTTCCTTTTCCTTTCTAAAAGTAGCAAGTATATGACACTATTCTTTGGATTTTAATTTATTTATTAATAATAAAATATATTGGGGGCCAGCCGAGTGGCTCAGTTGGTTAAGAGCTCGCTTGGGAGCGCCAGCTCTGAGCAGCGGGGCCGCGGTTCGTATTCCACATTAAGGGCCAGTGACGCTGCGCCCTCTACAGCTAAGATGATGAACAACAGCTCGACCTGGAGCTGGGCTGCTGTGAGCTACATGAGTGGCTGGCAGCCAGCGAGAGCTGCTGTGAGCCGCAGTGAGCAGCTGACCAATGACCAGCGACCGATTGCCTCACCTGGGAAGAGCACAATGATCATACCAACATGGGCCAGTGAAGTGATGTCCTCCACAACTAGACTGAAGAACAAAACAGCAATTTGTCTACCTGTCTGTTCCCCTTCCTCGATTCCCCAATGCTGTTCCCCTCTCCCAATTCCCCAATAAAATCTTTAAAAATAATAATAATAAAATATATTGGATGTTACTCCTTTTTGAAGTTACTTGGTAATGTACTTCAAAATATACTATAAAATATTCCAGTATATTTAAAAGAGATGCCATTAAAAATTGTTTTTATTTCCACTTGTTCATAACTTAATTCATTTGTGTTATACACCTGAATTTTATTAACTTTCTCCTTTTAGCATAATTTGAGGAAAAATTTAATTACCAACTTTCAAATATTAGTCCTCTAAAAAGAGACAGTTGAAGAAGATAAAAAAACTTCTCTAATTATGGATACATTTTATTTAAATAAAATTTATTAACTCAATAATGACTAAAATTATCATCAGTAATTTGATATCCTTTCATATATGTAAGATGTAATACTTATATGTCATCTACAATTTGGTTGAATTGTAATATTTATTAATCAAATAGAAATTAGCATTTGTTAATAAAACAGCTCCTAGAATTTTTTTCTAATTACACTTCCCTGTTTGTTTTGAAATAAAGCTATTTGATACAAGATACAGAATCATGATTCCTAAAATTTAACCAATTTTTAGAACAGCAAGTGTTAAGTTTATAATTGATTTATGATATTTATTTTGCATTTATAACATTGCCTATCTCACAATGCACAAATGTTGAGGAAAAAAAAAGATGGCAGTAGAATTCTGCTATATCCTATTTTCCAGTGTTACTTCTTCACTTTTGAACACCAGCCTTTCTCTGCTACCCAGTACTTAAATGCCACACTATTACTTGAATGCCTTTCTTCAAATTAAGATTTTTATTGTCTAATCATCATAGGTATCATTGTGTTTTACTAGCATCATCACTAGGGTTGGGTTCTTACGTTTATTTTTGCCTTCCCTTTGTCATCATCATACCATTTCTAGTACTTAGCCATGAGAAAGCAAAACTTCATGGATTTTCATCTTTTTTACTGTTCCTTATGTTTTTTCCTATCAACTAGTATGAATACATTGTAGTGCTTCCAGATTGATTGAGATACTTTTGAAAAATAGTAACTTTATATTCCAGAGTTGTCATACTTGCTATTAAGTGAATACATTTTTAGACTTCAGTAGGAAACTATTGAAATGATTGATTTTGAGCTAAAGAAATGGGTAAATATTTTTATATCCAGAGGCTCTGGTGGTAGAACCCAGCAATTTGTTTTAAAAAACCAGCTTTATTGAAGTATAATTGACATACAATAAACTGAACATACTCAAAGTGCACAATTTGATAAGTTTTGACATTTGAATACACCCATAAAACCATCACTACAGTCAAGATCGGAGTATATCTGTAACTGCCCCCCAGTTCCCTTATGCTCCTTTGTACTCCTTCCTGTCCCTCCAAACAACCACTGATCTGTGTTCCGTCACTACCAAATGGAGCTTTACTCAACAGGCCATCAACAATACAAAACAGCTTACTTTTTGAAATTGCAGATTTTCAACCCCATCCTGCAGAATGCATCAGTTGGAAAAAGCAACTACTGAATGTGTAGGATGGCACTATTAGGAAAAAAAGATTAAATGTTTGTTCTGGCAATGGGTTTGATTTCTTCCTTAATTTATCATTGTGAATTTATAAAATGTAGCAAAGCAAAAGCAAAAATTGGAATATCTGAGCTAGTGATCAGTGAGGGAAAGAAACAAGGGATTTAAATATTTCTTTTTTAAAAAACTCACGTTTCCAGTTTTCTCCATTACAGACAATGCTGTAATGAACATTGTTTGAACTTCTTACAAGTACCACATAGCAAACTTGAGGAAAATTTTCATTACCGTAAATTCCTAGAAGTGGAATTTTTGGATCAAAGAGTATGTATGTTTTACAATTTGAAAGATCAGTTAAATAAGTTATCTTACAATGTAATGCAGTCCTTAAAAAGAATGAGTTAAATCTGTAAGTACTGATATTGTTAAATGTCCACAGTATGTTATTAAATGAAAAAAGGAGTTACTTCGCACTGTAAGATCCCATTAACATTTACAGATGTTATAATAATATTTGAGAGAGGAAAAAAGCTGCAAGAATGTATGTCAAACTGTGGTTAACTCATTAAATTTAAAGATTATTTTTTAAATTATGTAAGTAGTGCATGGATAAATTCATCTTGTAAAAGTAAATCAATACAGATGCACAAATGCCTGTATTAAAATGTTTTATTCATAAAAGCCCCAAACTTGAAACAACCCAAAGCTCACCAAATGGTGAATGAATGAAGAAATAGTGATATGGAATACTATGGAATAAACAATGGAATACTAAGCAATAAGAAAGAACAAACTATTGATACACTCTATAACATGGATGAATCTCAAAATCATTATGCTAAGAGAAAGACACAAAATAGTACATACTATATGATTTCATTTATATGAAATTTTGGAACAGGCAAAGCTCTAGTGACAGCAGATCAAAGGTGGGCCAGAGGCAGGAGGTGAGGGAAGAAGATGACTACAAAGGAGTATGAGGGAACCTTTTGGGGTAATAGAAATGATTGATAGTATGATTATGGTATTGGCTACACTATTATATACATTGTTAAAATTTATCAAATTGTACACTTAAAACTGGTGAATTTTATTGCATGTACATTATATCTTAAAGCAGATTTAAAAAAAAATTTTAATTCTTTCCCCTCCCCCCT